GAGAATGCTTACCATCATTTGACAAATTCATATCTGTGGGCCACCATAGACAGCTTTGTGTACTAGTGCCTTTTCTAACTTCCTCCTCTACCACTATTACCATTCTAAGTCCTTATTTCATTACCTCTACAACATTCAGTTCACAGCAGCATTAAAGTTGAGCTCGTATAAGGAATTGTCCTAACCTTCATATATTAATAACTTTCCAGAATTCATGAGATGACATCAAAACACCATGTGCTGCTATAGCCTAACCTGTCTGAGCTGCTTCCAAGCAATCTCTTCTTGGGTCATCCTCTTCTCCTCTCCTTCCCTTTTCCTTTTTATTCCCTAAAGATCGAAAAAATATAAAAGACTGGATAAACATTCATGCCAACTTATAGGATCACAAATTACAACTGTGACAACATTGTGGTGCAGAGAGTCTCTTCCGGTATTGAGATAGACAAACGTGGCACCAGAACCATAATTGGTAGAAACACAAAGAAATCAAGGGCCCAATAATGTAACAACAAATACCCTTGATGTAAGCCCATGATTGACTGGTGGTATAGGCCCTTAGTTTCAACTAAGAGGCCAAAGATTCAGGTTCTCACACCAACAAGTGTAAGTCAAATCATATATAAAGATACTCTAATAGTGTAGAACAAAAAATAAAAAATCTGCGAAAAGCAAACCCAACACCGAAAAACAGATGAATGTCTCATATAACAGAACACACTCACGTCTTCATCAAAGTCACTATCAAACTCATCGCAACCTCTGCCTCCTCTACATACTTTTATCATCTCTTCCTGCAAAAAAAAAAATAAATAATAATAAAAAATAAATAACTAAGTAACACACACACACACACACACACACACACACACATATATATTAGTGTGTCTAGTAAAAACTGTAGCACTTTGGAGTTAAAACCCCCATCCATCGTTTTTGGTAGAAAACTATGTTGCACTTATTTTTTTAGAAATGCAATTAAAAGTTAAATCACTCAGTAAGTGCTTTCCCAACATCTCTTTTAGCTGCTTTTATCCAAAAAAAAAAAAAAAACAAAACAAACAACACACAATTTTACTTGAAAGCTTCTTCTAGAGAAGCACTCCGACCACATTCATTATAAGCTCCTCTTGTTAACAGAAATTTCATTTTTGTTGCTTAATTTTCAGAACCAGATCATCGTGATCTACCAACGAAAAAGTTGCAAAAGCACACAGAAAACTGAATGCAAAGAAAATACCAATGGTGACAATCAATTAACTATTTCATAAGAAAGATTAATTGGTAGACTTTTCTTATCCCAAAAATAAAAGAACAGATTTCAAATTCGAATAAGAAGTGCTGAATAATGCATAATCCACTACCTCCTTAGAGCCATCCTGATTCCAACACAGCTTATCCTCTTCAATTTCATCATCGAGCACTTAGTCATCCTACAAATCATTCATTTTAGTCTCTCTCCCATCCCACTCAAAGTATACATCAATACAACCATAACTTATGAATTTTACCACTACACCGCCGCAACAGGCACAGGATTCATCACATTAACATCACATACATTACACAATCCGGGACAGATTGATATTGTTAAATGTTATAACCCACGCGTAAATGTTACAATTTAAAATGATATAAGACTACTATTGTTCAAAGAAATGAAACTGTACCTCCATTTAGATTATCGATTTTATTTCTTAACACATAGTAATAATTTCATTTCAATTCCAACAACTACCAAAAAAATGAAACAATTCATCAGATCACGCTACCACTGTATCCTAAAATCTGCACATAAAGGATGCTAACTGCACCAATTTCTTATCTTTAAAAAAAAAAAAAAAAAAAAATGTAATGAAAAATCATAGTCCTGGCATTATGTTCCTCGGTAACTTTACCATCTAGCAATGTAGGGGAAGCCACCGTCCCAAACTGTTTTCATTCCGGTCCCAGCAACCTACTTTTAAAAATAAAATTTTCCAGGCCTCGGATCCGGTAACCTACCGTTATACGTCCTAGTTTCGCATTAACCATAATATAAGCACGAAAAGAAATTATATGAAACTTACCTTTTTCCTCTTGTTGCTCGAGAGGCGCGGTCGAGAAAAACGACAGAGCATCTTCTTTGCTCGAGGTTTCTTCCATTGCCTCCGCTGCGGCTTCAACAGAAATTCTTTTTTCAGTTCTTTCGGGAAATACATGTCGAGCGCCTCGAGTGTCGCTTGCAGATGAAAATTTCTAGGTTTTCTAGTCGACTCTTCAACGAATTACGGAGGAAACTGACGGAAACGAAGATCAATAAGGAAGAGAAAGATCGAGAAGGAGAGCGAGAGGAAAAGAGAAGCTGTTTGGTTACCGAGAAACAGTGGATTTTTTGTAAGGGGTTTGTTCTGGAAAATATTAAAGACCCCCGATCTTCCTATTTTCATATGGACCCTTTAGTTTCAATGCTATCGTTGTCCCCTTAAATTTGTCTTTAATATCAAATTTACCCCTATGGTTTCTTACTAAAACATGTATTAATAATCAGTCAGTATACTGTATAAACTTAACTAAAATTTTTATTTTAAAACTAAATTTACTTTTATCAAATAATTCAATTCTTTTTTTTTTTTCTGCGTTTTCAAATAAACATATTGAATGCGTATTTATTTTTCATTTTTTCAATATTTTCAATATTTTTAAAAATAAAAAAAAACCAAAACAGAATTTCATACACACTAAACTTTAATTAACCACATTTTATTATATGTCATTGAATTAAGATAAATAATTGTTTTAATTGAAAAAAATTAATTAAAGTAGCCAAAAGCTCTCAATTCTTCATCTGTCATGATTTAAAGTCAAAATCTAACCAAATCTAAAAGATTTAATTTTCAGCAATTCAACACTAATTTAAGCCCATTTAAATTAGAATAACCAATTAATATATAATGTTAGATTACGTTTTCTGCTCTTTTATGATCTCTTCTCATGTAAAATGACTCTCCAAGGAGAGGAGAATTTTGTTTGATACATTACAGATTCTAATAATATATACAACGATATTCTTTTGTATCATATATATAATATTAATTAATATGTTACCAACAATGCTAAAACAGTGCTCGTGTTACGTACCTGTTCTCAGGGTTTTGAGCATTCTATGCTCCGTTTCTGCTTCCATATTGAGGTACCTGCATAAATTTAACAAAGTACTCATTGAAAATAAACCGGCAAATTATGAATAATAATATTTTAATAATTGAAACAATTAAAAGTATTGAGGGCTGATTAGGAAAAACCCTTATAGATTGTAAGTCCCTGCATAAATCAAGCATTCAAATTCCTTTGATTCCATTCATCATTTTCTTTTCTAGTAATGTGTCGCCCCTGCCCTATCCATACAAATAAATTAAATAGGTAGTTTATAATTAAATTTCGGTACCCAAATTCACCTATAACTGTGTCGAGCTCCTATTCTAATTGAACGTCAACCTGCCACCTTGCCGGACTGATATTCCCCACCTGTTTATGTATGATGAGACATAAATAATAAATTGCAATGAGAATCTTAAATATCCATATTACGTCAAAAGTACAAAGTTTGTAGATATACCCTTTTAAAAAATCTTATTTGTCCTGTTCAGCTTGTCCGACTATGGATTTGTCTCTTTGTTTTACTATTCAATGCTTTGCTTTCCCAGAATCTTCCATTCAATTTTCTGACATGAATCTAGCAAACATATATGTTGTGATTATGGTAAGGATCCTAATAAAACGATCATGAATCAAACAATAAAGAAAGAAAAAGTATTTTGCATCAAATATTGTTCAAATAGTACAACTATTACAACAATCAAAATTCCTTTATTTCTACAATTGATTGAGTTGTTATATCACATCCCTAAGCCTGCATAGCTTAGAAATGAAGAAATTAATTAAACATCATCTCCTTTTGCGCTTTGCTCCTTATACTTTCTCATGTTACCTTCCTCTACAAACTATTAACTAATTAACTCAAATTGGCATAACGATTAAAAATTTGGATCAATTTTGTGAAGTTATTCATACCATATTTGCAGTAGTCCTTCCACTTCTCTGCTGCGTCTTGCTTCTTATTCTTTTCGATTTCCTGCATGCAATTACGGTTTGTATTTCTTTATATTGAAGGCATTAACTCTTCTCATGGATTTTAGGTTGTTGTAGCATTCATTCTTATATATGAAATATTTTTGTATTCCAATGTTCCTCTAAGTTTTTGAATGTTAAATTCGATGCCCCTTCCAATGTATTTAGGAGATACATTACATTCTGATCATATATTGTTAAACCTTTCAACTCATTGATACCTCTGTCTATGAGTTCATGAAACATATTTTCCAAACCGATGATATATAGAAACTCGGTTTTTTCAATTATCAAGTTCTTAAGGCAATCAAGCAATCGTGAAATCATAACCTCACGAGCTGAGATCATAATTTTCCTTGAGTATTTTATCATAGTCCCAAAAAAATCCTCCACATCCAAAACTTTTGGAGCACCTATTATTATTGTAAAGTTCAATAGCTTTTTGAACAGCATGTCATTATCAAGCAAAAGATCTTGGTTTGGGATAAAAATTTCCAACCTAGTTAGTCTAGACAAGTATTGTAACTCAGCAAGCTTGGCATTGCTTCTCCCATCCCTCCCATCTCCATCAAGATCCCAAAGCATAGAACTTGGGAAAATGGACAGCTCCTCTAACTTAAAAAGAGCGGATATGACACCATGTGCTATTCGCTTTAGCTTTAGACAGTGCTTCAAATCTAATAGCCTCAAATGAATTAATTGGCTAAAAGAGATAGGTATCTCCCTAATATTAGACCCACGAAGACTAAGAATTTCTAGGTTGGTTAGATGCCCAATGATAGATAAGTCACCCAACTTGCAATAATTAAGATGCAATGTTTTAAGATTCGCAAGCAAAGAAAGTGACTTGGGCAGTGGCAATAGTTGAGTTTCTCTAAGATCTTTCATGCCTTGAAAGAAATTGTTAGGGAGAACCAATTCATGATTCTCTTGCAATAGTAAAGACTGCAACTTTGGGCATTCAATCCCATTAGGTACAGCTTTAATATTATTTGACATCAATGAGATACATGTGAGACTTTCAAATGTATCTCTTTCATGCCACTCTTCTAAAACAATGCCAGCTTTCACCAAGAATATTTGGTTGTACTTAGGTGCTATTATATGTGCAACATCACGTACAACATCGTGCATTTTAACATACCCATCATCATCTTCATTATCATCGTCATCGTCATCGTCATCGTCATTTTCTTCATGAATCAAGAGAAAAGAAGAGGTAAGGGAACTTACAATAGCATGTGTTCTGTGTCTAGCATCCTCCATTGTCTCAATATTTTTGAACCATCCCAAACCAGCTCCATATCTCACTAAAACTGTAATTGAGATTTCGAAATCCTCTGGAAATAAGCTACAAAAGAAGAACAATGATTTCGCATCGTCACTCTCTATATATTTGATGCTCAACTCCAAAGATGAAATCACACTTCCTTGCAACCCTGGGATGTCTGTTGGGGTAGACGTTTTGAGTTGTCGTGCCACGTCAGTCCAGACATGCTTGTTTTTATTCTTCAAAGCTCTTGCTATGGTAACAACTGCAATCGGCAAACCACCACATTCAGCGGCTATCTCTCTGGCAATTGGGTTTAAATCACTGTTGTCAACACATGCTCCAGCTTTCTCCTTAAAAAGGACCCAAGATTCTTCTTTTGATAACGTTGCAACCGTAAATATCGGTTGAGCATCCATTTCGTCGCATACATCTCTGCTTCGAGAGGTGAGCACAATCTTGCAACCTCTATGGTCATTTCCAAAAGGAATTCCAATCTCATTCAGCTCAATTCTTCTCCAAACATCGTCTAATATTACAAGCATCTTTTCTTCCTTCTTGATTCTTTCCCACAGCAAACTTGCTCTTGCTGATTCAGGATGATCCGAAATTTTTTCGAAACCCAGCATCCGAGCAATTTCCCCCTGAATATTCATAATATTTACGGTTTGAGACACAGTTGTCATCACTACAACACCATATCGCTTATCTTCACCTGCCTGTTTGACGATTTCTGTCACTAACGTGGTCTTACCCACACCGCCCATTCCACACACTCCAACGATACTGACGTTGTCATCTCCCAAGGCCTCCAAGATTTGCTTCATAATTGATTTTCTGGATTCGAAAGTTCCAGAAAATACCTCAGACGGATAAATAATTCCTGGAGGAGGAGCAGGACGAGATACCTTCTCAAATTTCCCTTTTTCTTGGAGCTGAGAAATCACAAGATTCTTCTTGTTCGCCTCCTTACTGAATCTGTAACGCGATCTGGGATTAATACACCACCCGTTGAGACACCTCTTGTTTGCATTGACTTCATCTTCCAAAAACTTTGCAGCTTCTGCAGAGATTTTATCAACTTCTGCCCACCAGTTCTGCACATCAGTTTCAATAATTTCAAGATTCCTTTCAGCAGCTTCAATTTGTCCTTGTACCCTGTCTCTGATACCTGCAAGTTCCTTAGCTTGCTTTTCCAACGTTCCAATGTTGTTGTTGTAGTGAAACAAGTAGCCGAGCTGACGGCCTGCTGCGCCTAACAAGCAGTCGGTAATGCTCGCAACAACTGAAGAAGCAATTTCCATGGTGTTTTAAAAGAAAATCAACAAGAGAAATGATAAAGAAAACACAAGGTTTCAGTGATTAACAAGAGTATGCATGAACGACTCACTTTATAAGTCGTCTTCTATGTGGGCACTCCACTCCAAAAAGATAACATTATTGTTTATTTATTAATTTGTTACAAATTTTAGACCACACATGTAAAATCAAGTCAAGAAAGATAGGCGCAGACCATTTATGTGAACTCAAGTTAAAGCAATAATGCATGGACGAAAACACGAGTAAAATCAAGTTTAAAAAGATAATGCAGAACGACTCACATTATAAGTCGTCTTCTATGGAACACTCCAGTCCAATTTTTTTTTTAAACTGATACAAAAGGCCCAAGTTCATTTTATCTGGGCAAGGTCCATAAATGCTATGGTTATGGATTCGTCGAAGATTTGTGTTGTTTGAACCCATTAAAACTTTCTCGACATACCATTATCGAATTCACAAAATGGAAAATTGTGAGGTTCCAAACACGTACATTTGGAAAATTATATTGATAAATAATCCAAGTTCTGATCTTTACGCTTTCCATATATAGATTCCAAATTTGATGACTTTACAATTTACTCTGTTTGAATATTCCATGCTCTGTTTCCCCCTGAATTCCCATTACAATTATCTTAATTTCACCTTCAAAAAAGGCATCCCATTTTGTGAAAATGGTAAGGATCCTGATAAAAAGATCCTTTTATCAATTACAAAAACTGAGATTCCATCACAGTTTTACATTCAAATTTCTTCAAATAAATAGTTTCAACAATCTAACTCTTAATTTAAATAGCAATTGATAGTGGTGTTGGATTGATCAATTGGTGTTAGAATCAGGTCAGGCTTAAATGACGGTTAAGTAGGTTTGGTGGGTGGTGATGGTTAGGTAGAGTGAAATAAAAAATTAAGAACAATATAGTAATAGCACAAATCAGAAGTCAAAATTAACTAACAGTGTTAATTTAATGGTGAAAATTTAGAATAAATACAACCAGAGTATGAACTTGAAATTTCGTTAAACCTCGAATAGGAGCATGTTGTTTGCTCAATATGAAGTGGTCAAATGATCCCAAGTTCCACACAATTTACTACCTAAAAAGTTTGAAAACGATAATGGATCGCCATTTGTCTTGGTGAATACGACTATATGGTGTTATTAATGTTATTTCGTATAGAATTTTGGACCACCACAATATTTTTTATTCTATAATATATACTTGGGACCACTGGGAGACATGGTCACCCTACCTAATATGATATGATGTTTGGCCCGAAAACTCCAAATCAAAAAAAAAAAAAAAAAAAAAAAAATGATATGATGTTGTTGACGTTATTTTATTTTCATACATAATTTGAGTCCACTACGAATATTAAGCAAATATGTTTACTAATATACTTAGGACCACTACGAGAAGTTATCACTTCATCTGATGTGATGTTATTCATGTTATTTCATATATAACATATTAACATATACTGGAGACCACTCCGAATATTACGAAGTTACCACTATCATATATTTAACAAATACTTTAGTTTATTATTGAAAAGAAAATTACAAACATAGCCACAAACAAATAACAAGAACTATTAACAATTCATCTTTCTTTTTGTTTTTTTGTTTTTTTTTTTTTTCTTCCTAAATAGTTTAATATAAGAGGTTGTAAAAGATGAGCATTTTTTTACAATTAATTATTTAAATACTTATTAAATGAATATTTCCGCTAATAGATTAGTTATATTTTTATGACATTATTTAACCAAAAATAATTAAATAATTAAATCTAGATTAGGAGTCATCCACAATTATAATAAATTAATAAAATAACCTATTAAAAAGAATACTTGTTTAATTCTATGAAATTTATAAACTCCAACAAATATAGTTGTAGCATTTCCTCGTAAGAATATATAAATAAAAGCAAGGTAACATGAAATTGCGTGATTATTAGATTTCAAGGAAATCAAGTATATAATCACTTTTATTTTAACTTTGTGTAAAAAGCATGTTGATTAAAGGAAAAAATAATAATAATAATGTTACATGTAATAAATACAATATCCAAAATTCTCATTTCAAGGAAATTTTTTATCTTTTAGGTACCAAAATTTGTGAAGGAAGGTAACTATATTCTTTTTAATAATGTTATAGATTGCAAAAATATGTCTTATATTATAATGTAGAGTAATATTACAGCTACCGAAGATTGCATACCGAATCTGTACACCGAATGATGTAGCAAAATCCTGACTGTTGATTTATTATCAGTTAATATTAATCAACGGTCTACGTCATTCGATGCACAAATTCGGTATACAACTTTCGGTGGTTCTATCATTTTCCTATAATGTAAGACACAAAATAATCTAATCATTAATGATATACCAACAGAGGTGTAGTATAACAATTATGACCCATAGTATTGGCTTTACAATACACAATGTAAAAACCAGTTTGTGCGTATCTCAATTAATCTTTTAGAGTTTAAAATTAGCAATTGAGCTAATCTCCTCAATATCTACACTTATTAGCAACCCAAATAAATTAAATTAAAAGTCTCTTAAATAATACACTTAAAAATCCTAATTGATCTATAAATCTCATAATGGTGGTAATCATTACAAAATTTGGAATGTAACGAGATTCATTAAAGTTTTCATCCCTTAGACTTGGTATGTAAGCTATTTAAAATATTATAAATATAAAAAAAAAAAAAACAATAATTAATAGCAATTTCTCTTTATAAAATGCGAGAAAAATGAGAAATTAAAGATAACGACAAAGTGGAAACGTTAAAAGAATAAACGCAAAGTTATCTCGTAGGGCCCTCTTCTAAAGCAGTTCCATTCTTTTATATTGTTTATTGAACCGGTCCCCACCTACCTAAAACTTTCCACCAGGGCCACTCGATCTACCACATTAAAGCATTAACATGACAGTACAGGGCTAATATTAATCTAACCTACCGGTGACGCTCAATGACGAGTGAGGCCCCTAAAAGAAAAGCTTGACATTGATTCTTTTGTTTCGTATTTAACACGTTGCACCAACCTTTACTCACAATTCACAAACAAAACCCGACCCTACTCAATTGGCGAAGTCAAGAAATTATATTTGAAAACATCAAAACGTTATGTTTACTGATGGGACATCAAAATATAAAAATATTATTAAGTACAGGCCGAAATCTAGATCAAAGTTTGATCATCAAACCCGTGGTTTAACAAAAATGTCATCATTTCACCCATCATTAGTCTTCATCTACAAGAATTTCCCCTTATGATAAGACCTGCAATTGAACCGAACACGAACACGAACGAACAGTCTCATTTGAAACTCATTTGATAAGCATATTTGATTGTTCAATTTCGTATTCAAACTCAAACGAACACAGAATGGTTGTTCGTGTTCATTCGATTAACAAAAGATCAGTTCGTGTTCGTTCAACTAACTCGTAAATACCTGTTCGAATAACTCGTTCGATAACTTGTAAATACCTGATCGAATAACTCATTCGAATAAAAAATATATACCAACTCATTTGAATAACTGTCTACATATATGTTTTGTATCAACATGTATAAATTTATATTGGTATGAGGGTTTATTGTAATATATGATCAATACAAATGTGTGATTAATTTATGTTTAATTAAACTATTATGTTATTAAATTTATCATGCTATATATCACTTGATTATACAATATGTTATTTTCATAAATATGTCATATTATATTTAATTAAGCTATTATATTATTAAATTTGTCATGTTATATATCACTTAATTATACAATATGTTATGTTCATCAATTTACCATACTATATTTAACAAAGCTATTATATTGTTAAATTTGTTATGCGATACATCACTTAATTATACAATATGTTATGTTCATCAATTTACCATACTATATTTAACTAAACTATTATATTATTAAATTTGTTATGCTATAGTGCTATATATCACTTGCTTATACAATATGTTATATTCATCAATTTGCCATACTATATTTATTATTTATTAATTGAAATACTATCTTATAATATTTAATTATTGATTACATTGGAAAAATATGAACCAATTATGTTATTAGATTTACTATATTATATATCATGACTTGATTATACAATCTATTATATAATTAAATTTGTCATACTATGTATCAAAATAATTTATTACTTTTTAATTACAATGCTATATACATATATAATTAATTATTGATGACAGTTGGAAAAAAAAAATCCAAACATATTATATATATATAAGAAAAATAAAAGTATCATAATATTTTATTATTGATTACCATTAAAAAATTCATCCAAACTAAACCAAATATAGTATAAAAAAGAAAAAAATATAAATTATAATAATGCATACAATGTTTTTCGAACATAAACGAACGAACAATCGAACAGATTATTTGCGAATGGATGGATCAGTCGGATGTATAATATTCACGAACATAATCAAACGAACAGCCTATGTTTGAACTTGATTGAACATATTATCGAACGAACATCGAGTTGTTCGCGAATTGTTCGGTTCTTTTGCAACCCTACTTATGACCAGCTGTGACTATTTAAATATCTTTTTACCCTTTAAAATCAAAGGTTTTAAAACCTGACCTAGGGGACGACCTCTTCAGGTCATCAGGTCACCAGATTGGCTGCTCGAACCAGTACAATTGCCAGATCGAACCATGATATCATCACGCTGATATCAGCGTGATGATGTCATTCTGACATCAACATGACATGGAAAAAATAATAAAATAATGAAAAACCGATTCAACCGTTTGGTTGAACTGGTTGACCTGACGGTTTGTAGCCAAAAATCGATCTAATCGCAATTCAAACTGGGTCAATTGCAAATTCCGGTTTTTTAGTCAAACTGACCCGACTTGATTACCGATTCAATCGATTGAACCGGCTGGGCCGGGCCAGGTTTTAAAACCGTGTTAAAATCTATATTAGAAGCAAATTGACAAATTCTTTATAATCCCAAATTAACAATATTCACAAAACAACCACATATATTTCAATTTTCATTCATCTAC